TCTCTGACTAAGATTGGTCACACATGCAGAACATAAAGACACCAGCAAAACTCTAGCTGTCCGAATGAAATCCTGTTGGCATGACCATTGTGTATGCCACGTGTCAGGCACGCACAAATCTCACAGCACAAATAGGAGACTAAAGCAATCACATTTAACGCGACCACCCGCATTTCATGCTAATTGCATGTCTCTGCAGTTTTCACTGGTATCCTTAGATCCTTAGATCCAAGGGTTCTCACACCCTTAGATTAGGTGAAAGTACCCATGTGTGACTTTTGTCTACAAAAGCAATCCACCTACGTTACTAATGGCTACCTAGTGAGTCACGTGTGATACAATTAGGTGCACACTGATAAAATAAAAACACTGAAAAACAAAGAAATCTAATAAGAAAATTAATAGTGCACAATCATTGTTATTCCACATGTCTACTGAAATCAAACAAGAATAGAGAAATCATCCCAAATGTCTACACACAAATAGTAAGTGAAACTACAAAGTCAAACAAAGTGAAAGAAAACTGTAAACTTACTATGTTATTCGAAGATGAACTTGTTAATATATTAAATGTCAGTTGTATTACTGCTATCTACAGTTTACGAGATCGCAATTAATGAATTCAAAATTATTAATGAATCTGGATATAAGGAAATATTGAGGCTATTGATATATACTATTCAAAATGGTATGATAGTAACCAAACAAAAGTGCAAAATCCGCACATATTATGTGTGACATCAGCTTACCAGGCTCCTCAGGAGCTGTGCACGACGTCTCACACTCCTCCATGGTAGTAAACTTATTATCATTGCCTTCACAACCTCCGTACCAGAACCTGTCACACACTCCCTTTTCTATGTCAAAGTACCACTTGATCTCATAGGCACTGCACGGCCCTTCATCCTTGGGTACGTCACAGGCGACACCTAAAAAACAAACATGACATTAGGCTATCATAAAGTAGGTGAGCAGTTTTAAATTGACATCTTGAAATCACGCATTATAACAAACCAGGCACATAGCTACAATCAAAAAGTAACAAACCCTCTAATTTTTCCCAATCCACTTTATTGTGGATAAATTGTTTAAATATCCATTGTGTCCGAAACATATTTTAATATAATATCAGGGGTTAATAATGACAATTTGTCACTATTAACCCCTGATAATATGTATGAATGATACTGGACCACATACGTGTTGCTGCAGCCGTGGTTGTCATGACACAGCCCTCCATGTTGGGTCCCTGTGCCTCGTTCATACCATCTTCACAGCAGCCAAACAGAGAGTTTCTGCAGTCTTCAAGTTGGCAGCCTTCAAAATCAGGCCCTATCGCTGGCCTTACCCCATCCATGCAGCATCCCCATTGTGACACAGAGCATGCAGACACTGACAGTCCTGTTGTAGTCTCAATTACCTGTTTGCGCCAGAACAAAACGAAGGTTATGTTCAGCATTAGCAATGGAATTACAAATAAGAAAAAATAGAAAAGAAGGAAAAATTTGTAGTATATACTCGCCTCTTGCATGACCACTGTATTTACATACAAACTACCCTTTTTACTGTTTATAAAAAACAAGTACACTGATATATGATGATCTATACTTTTACAGGTATTTGACACATGTAATATGAAGCCAAGCTCACCTGAATAAGAGAAGTATCGATGGTGCTACTTTCAGTAACTTCTGGCATTGAAGTGGTCATTATCTCAGTGGTGACATTTTCCTCTATTCCAGTCCCCACTGCGGTTGTTAGCACCTCCTCTGTTCCAGTCATTACCTCCATTGTTACATTAGGCATGACCTCTGTTCCAGTAGTCGTCTGCACAGTTGCAGTAGCCATCCCCTCTGTTCCAGTAGTCATCTGCACAGTTGCAGTAGCCATCCCCTCTGTTCCAGTAATCATCTGCTCAGTTGCAGTAGGCATCTCCTCTGTTCCAGTAATCAGCCCTTCTGAACTGGTAGTCATCTCCACTTCAGTGACATTCTCAGCCATTTCTGTGACTGTCGCAGCAACCTCAGTAGTTTCTGTGATTCAAATCAAGTAGGACGTAGGAGTTACATAAAGTAGCATTTAACTCTGTGCTACGAAACCCAATAGCAATGTCCCGAAAACTGAATTCAGCAATTGCACCTAGTATGTTTATATACTGTGCTTCCATCACAGATAATTAACTGTGTAGACATTCTTACCAATTGGGCAGTTCTCCCAGTCTTCATCCAGTGCTATAGTTATGCCATCTGGGCAGCATCCAAACTCAGACTCCTCGCATTCAGGCATGGGAGACACATATGGTGGTACCACTGTGTCGGGAATACACCCACTCCCTGCTTCATCGAGACCTATGCAACCCATAGCAGAACCTTCGCCTGTACCTGAGCAAAAACAAATGAACACATGAACAATATTGAATTGAGACATATTTTGTCAAGTTCAATAAGATTCATCAGTAGCAAACACAGAAAATGTGGTTGCAGACTAGACGTTTGACTGCCTCCTTTGCCCATTAAGTAGCAAAAGAATATGCAAAACAATAATTTTTAAAACAGCCTACCAATTAGAATAACCTGTGAAAACTTTTAACGTTTAAAACCACATGGACACATGCAATCACACTGTGTAAAAAAACGACATCAAACAGAAACAGATCAGACCAACTACAATAGCATCATCATGGTTCATACAGGATTGAAAAGATTTTCAAGGACTTTTCAAGGACATATTATCGGAATTCATACACAGAACAAAACATACCTGGATTAATTTAATAATAACCACATTCTTAATCACTGTCACCTCTAAAACTTACCTGGATCACATTAATAAACCCTTCTAAACACTGTCACCTCTACAACATACCTTGATTTAGTGACTTACTGTAATTTGTGATCATCATTTAACTGTGTATCATGTCTATAGCTTTTTAAGCTTATTTAACACAATTTTTATTGAGGTTTCCACATTATTGATGGTACAAAATTTCTTTTTATTACAGGCAAGGATTCTTTCTAAAAATTCAAGGACTTTTTAAGCACAAAATCAACATTTACTAAATTCAAGCACTTTTCAAGGACTCCTCTCAAATTCAAGGACTTTTCAAGAACTCCTCTCAAATTCAAGGACTTTTCAAGGACTGTGCGAACCATGATCATAAAATGCTATTTAATTGAAATGCAACCGATCTCCAGACGTACTTATGAACCCACCCTCAATCTCTTCTTCACATCCCTCCATATTTGGTCCAGCTGCAGCTGAGATGTTGTCCAGACAACAGCCAAATGCTGTACTAGCACATGGCGCAACAGTCATGAACTCACAGCCTTCATAGTCGTGACTTGCAGCGGCTGTTACGCCATCAGGACAACAGCCATATGGTGTCTCTATACAAGGTACCTTTAAAAATAAAGGTGGCAAATTGAACTGGTGCATTCATATGCATGCACACGTGAACACATCGAACAGGATTACATGCAAGTCAATCAGTTTCCAATATGTTATATATAGCAGATACAGAGAAATCAAACATAGCGCTATATACCTCTGACACAAAGATGCTGGTTGTGTGTTGAACGACATCAGTCTCTTGCTCTGTTACTTCTGATACCATCTCCGTCACTTGAGTTACCATGGTGTCCGTATCTGTCATTTTAGTTACCATCGTGTCAGGTTCACTGGCGTTCACTGCAGCACTAGTGGTTACACCTACGTCCTCTGTTGACATCTGTGACTGCGTGGTCATGCCTGACACGATATCCTGTGTGCATACAAACATCAGTATGTTTGAGTATTGTTACTTGTACTTATACATTGTTATTAAGGTACACTTTAAATAAAACAAGATGTTTAGCAGATAATGACAGCAATTACAACAATTATGTAAAAATATGTAGCTTTTGAACCAAAATTGCACGTACACAATTAGTTCAATATCTTAATTTTATAATGGTGTTTTATTCTAATTATGCAGTAAAATATTCAAGCTAACGAGCTGAGTCATTTACTAAAAAGCCAAATCAGATTCTGATCACCTTCACGTGCGAATCTATAACTGGCTTTCCTCTTGTCGGCAAAACGTAGTCTGGCGTCGTGGTCAACCCTTCTGTGAACCCTGTGCCTTCCAATGTCACATCAGTAGACATGATTCCTGGTGCTTCAGTGCTTAGCATATCATACATTGCCTGAGTTCCAGACTCAGAACTCATTATTTCTGTGGTGACCATATCAACTGGTGTTTCAGTGCTCATATCTACTGGTGTTTCAGAGCTCATATCTACTGGTGTTTCAGTGCTGGTCATGTTTGCTATCGTCTCAGTGTCGTTTGTGAATGCCATTGTCTCCGTTGGTGGTGTAGTAGGCTCAGATTCACATCCTGCAAAGAGTGGACCACTGGCAGCTGTCACGCCATCAGCACAGCAGCCATATGAGGATGTTTCGCAGTCATCCTCCTCTAAGCAGCCTTCACCCTCGTCTCCCTACAGGCAGAAAACAACATGCACATGGTTGCCCAAGAAATACCTTACACGATGACATACTGACTACAATCCATCAACAACTGGACAACACCCCCAAATAAAACATTATATGGGGTAGGGAATACAATTTGTGCGCGTTTGTGTGCGTGCCAGGTGTGCATGCGTGCATGTGTAAATAGATTATTTTGGGAAATATCCAGTACCTTGGCCGGTGTGATGCCATCTGGGCAGCAGCCAAACCTGCTCTCATTACAGGAATGCACCATAGCACAGCCTTTCTTAAATGGTCCTGCAGCTGCAGTAATCCCATCCATGCAACAGCCATACCTACATTGTAGAAGTCATTATTATAAAATAATACACATAATCTTATATATTGATTGGGGTTCTTAGCACAACACAAATATTGCGTTTACAGTTGAATGATGTGATCAACATATTTACGCATATTCACGTAGGAAAAACAAAACTGAGGTTTCTTTTTCAGGACTGCAGTTAGAAATGGAAATGACTAACAATAACGCGTATATAATATTTTAAGGACATACGCAGTTTCATTACAAGGTATCCCAGTTTCAACCATACGACAGTTCTCTCTGTTTGGCTTAGCAGGAGTCACACCATCTTCACAGCAGCCGAATTTCGATTTGTGACAACCTTCTACCGGCATTAGGACATCTACAATTAAAGTTACACATAACAACAGTCAACTTGGATTTAATGAACAATCAAAATGAGTAAGTTGAGAAGGATTTCATTACAGATACTCCTGAACGTAGAATAATAAACGCTATCAATACACCTGACAAATAGGAACAGATGCTAAGACACTTCCACGAATGCGAGATTGTTTGCTGTACAGTTCATAAAGATACAGACACTAATAGCTATCAACCTTCATCACAAGCATTCTGGTTGCACGGTTCATTATCAAATGGCCTGTCATTAGGGTCACAGTCTCCCTTGTTGACCTTTTTGCCATCGCTAAGGCACATCACCTCCCGCTTGCGCACACCACCACCACATGGCACTGAGCACTGCAGAAAACACAGCTCAATTAAGGACACATTCAACATTTTCATGAATAGCAAGTCTGGGAGATTATATATACAGTTATAATTGTTAAATTTGTATCACATGTAAATTTGTTCAAAACTGTAGTTCAGTACTCGTCCACCTAACCTGTTCATCTCTATTTCTAAAATTATTAACACTGAGGAATATTAATGTGATGAACTCATTCAGTAAAACAACATTAGGTACAGGCCTATTACTACTTCATTCAATATATATATATTGCTTAATCAAAATGCATGAACATCCGTACCAATGCCCAGGGTCCAGTGAACCAAACAGCTTCACAAGGTTCGTTCATGCAGTCCTGCTGTTCAGTAGGCCTCTCCGTCATACACAGTTCCTCACTGGCTGGGCTGATACAACTGCTGTCCTCATCACTAGCAGCGACACACATCACATGGCGAGTCTGCACTCCCTTGCCACACGTCCCAGAGCACTGAAGCATCATAATACAGTGATCATGCACACAAGTGTCATGCTGTCATCACCATTGTTAGCAACTGTAGTTAAGTAGAAGGAAGCACTGCATGGTATGCAGAGTACATGATTAAATTGAAATGTATCATCAGACAATTATGAAAGTATGACACTGATTTATTTCATACAATACTTTTATAGTGTAGTATTATATCAATTATAACCATGGCATATAAAGTGAGTACATGTTTTTTTTTGCATTTTATAAAGATGTCCATATAGGCACATACACCTTCGTGTGTCTGGTGAGATATAAAGACGCTTATCCAACTCTTGTCACCTGTCATATTCGTTTTACTAGAATGGCTTATTATATCTTGAAAAATTATACTTCACATAGCATACTAATGCATTTAATAAATGCTGCTGGGGTTTTACTTACCGTACTCCATTCAGACATATGCCAGGCAGCTTCACATTTTGGGCTCATGACTGGGCAGTCACTCACGGAGTCAGGCTTCCTGAGTTCATCACACTTGCTATCGTCATAGATCACTCCCTTCTTGCTCACACATATAACATCGCGAGATTGCTTCGTCTGCCCACAGGCGTCACACTGCAGTAAATGATAGCAAGGTTAGTTGCACAACTAAAGTAATGGTTCTTTCAAAAGATCAATGTGGATATTAGGTATATGTGGTCACTGACAATTAGCAAGCTATGTTATTAATCAATAGGGTCACAAAACGGACACAAGATGTGATGGAATTTGAAATGCTGATTTTTACAAAATGAATTGTTTTTGTAATGGTTCTTTCAAAAGATCAATGTGAATATTAGGTATATGTGGTCACTGCCAATTAGCAAGCTATGTTATTAATAGGGTCACAACAAAACGGACACAAGATGTGATGGAATTTGAAATGCAGATTTTTACAAAATGTGCAACTATTCATTCATATCTAGACGGTGCACACAGAATCACTACGAATGTTACCAAAAGTTGTCCGATCATAAACGATTACCTCTGTCCACTCAGAGGTCATCCACTCCAGACCCTCACATGGTCCAGCATCGCACGTCCTGTTGGTGGATGGCATATGGCTCTCGTCACAGTTATCCTCTGGTAAGGTGTCATTGCTGCCAGGAGCATGACAGGTGAGAGTGCGTGTTTGCTCACCCTTACCACACATCTTGTCACACTATATAATGGAAATATTTTTACAGTGATACTTACATTGCCTATGACAAATATTGGCCTCTACCACTTATTGTTTCAACCAAAATAAATAAAATAAAAGGAATTGAACATATATTTACATAAATTAGGAATGTTCAATATTTACTTTATATTATTCACAGTGTCGGATTTCATACACAATTTAGCTTCTGGAAATGAGCATAATTAATAATATATGCAAAGAAAATCTAGTGCCAATGATACATAACACACCAGTAAGTATAACACCCACAGCATCACATCTACTGTTTTACCATGAATAAGAGCATCATTTAGAAGACTTACAGGGCCCCATTTGCTGGCTTGCCAGTGTGGGCACATTTCATCCACATTGCACTCCTGTTTGTATGTAGGTTTCTCACCATCTGCATCAACGCACTGTTGTTCTAGAACCTGCAATTAACACAGCATTAACAGAGTTCAATGTTATGATGCTCAGCACATTTGAGTAACATATACAAAAGGGAGACAAGCTACAATTGGTAACAAATGCCAACAATTGAAGTTAACCAGCACCTAATTATTCATTTTCATATTTAATTCAAAATTTGAACAACGGGCTGAAGCAATTTCTGCCTCGTCGATTGACTGTCAACACAGTTATGGCCAATGACACAATATGCACAAATATTCACACAACATGTGCATACCTGTGACACTATGCCATGCTTCGCCTGCTGCTGGCAGTACACAATGCGGAATTGCAGCCCTCCTCCGCATGGATTACTGCACTCCTCCCATTCGCCCAGATACCAACTGCAAAATAAAGAAACAGCTTGAACTGCTGTGCAAGCCGTAAAGGTAGACACGGCCAGATTTATAGGAAAACGTCAACAATCCACACGTTACTCCTGGCGTAACATGTTACTTCACACTCCTTTAGGGAGCTACGGATGTCCAAAACACATCATCATATCTTGTCTACCTCCCTGTGCAGTTATACCTGGCAGGGCAGGCCTGAGTGTGGCAGGATTGCTCAGTAGGTGGTCGAAGCAGCGGGTTGCATAAGACCTCGCTAACGGTGTCATAGCCGATTGTCCTTGCGCAATACACGGGTCTCGTTTGAATGCCTGAAACACACGTGACAACCATATTCAGTCCAAATCTTGACATGGCTAATTCAAATTATGCGTAGAGAGTAGAGGGACGAGATTTACCTATTTAAATCACATTACTTTAGGTGTGTTGTAAACAGAGGTATCTCTGGATGATTATAGTCACTATTAATATTGACATTGATCAAATGATCGACTAAATCTGCAAATGAAGCAAAAGAATATATATCTTCATAAAAGCATTAATGTGATGATTATTTAGTTCTTCATTATTATTATTATTATTATTATTACTACTACTACTACTACTACTACTACTACTCTTATTATTATTATTATTATTATTATTAAACAAGATCAAAAGATAATGAATCAATGTATTCATTGCTTACCTCCGCCACAGGTCTGACTGCATTCTCCCCAACCATCATATATCCAAGCATACGAATCTGGATCTGCCATTGTCACTCCAAGTGGTATCGAATATTCGTATATCACACCAGGATTGGCTTCTTGTAGTAACAGCTGAAAATGTTACAACATAGTTTGCTAGCTAAAGTATAGTAACAAAATCACTACCATGACTAAACTTTAGCAAATAGGGCAAATATTGCTGTTGAAATAATAGTCACACTGACCAGAAATCGCTTCTCCATCGTCATAATTTTTTCATATAATAGAAATGACTATAAAAGCAAAATTTCTAATAACTGATTATACTAATTAATAAATTTTGCAATTACTGAAATAATTCAATGAGAAATAGTTTACCTGTACATATGCATCAATCCATAATAAGCATTTCATTACACCACCTCACATACTCATGTACACACGCTTGGACACATGTAGGTTATGCAGATGGGGTCGTTGTCGTATCAGGTACTACAGATATGTAACCGAGGTAGTTTTAGGTTGTTTAGTATTATGTTTATATTTTTATATGAGGTATGTTTAGGGTTAGGGTTAGGGTTAGGGTTAGGGCTAGGGCTAGGGTTAGGGTTAGGGTTAGGGCTAGGGCTAGGGCTAGGGCTAGGGTTAGGGTTAGGGTTAGGGTTAGGGTTAGGGTACACTTCTGTAGTACAAGTCTGGTACACTTTGTGTATACATATATCTGTAGTACCTGATACGACAACGACCCCATCTGCGTAGGTTATGCCTCATACCACAATGAAGAGAGTCTCGGTGGTTGGTCCCAGTGCATCAAGCTGTTCTGGTGCATGGAAACCATGAGGCGTGCGTTTATAGTAAAATGTTGTGCCAGCAATTTGCATGTCCTTTGAACTGTCTATCCTCCACTCTCCATTGAGGTAATATGTTCCATGGATGTCCCGTATTGCTAGACATAACAGAATATTAGATAAAGTCGTGTTTTCCAACTAGAAAGCTCCCAAGAAATCCTTATCACGCGTACAGCTCAAAACATTTTCCTGAAACACCAATACGTAATGGCATATTTGTTGTTGAAATTAAAAACGCTTAAAAGGAAACTTTTAAAGCACAGGATAAACAACACAGCATCACAGCGATATAGATATCGGAGCGAGATAAGCAATGTGGTGTGCACTCGTCTACTAGACTGCATGCTTTCCTAATGTACTGAAAACCAAAATGTCAAAAACCTGGATGTTTACAAAACAGTACTGCCTTTAATTTCATCAACATTTAAGGGTGTCTGAAAATAGTTAACCCATTGGCCACGAAGAGGAGTATACTTTACGTTCTGGCGCTCCAATTGTTGCTAGTTCACCTTGTGATCCCACAGCATAATTAATCTCTATACATTATAAAATGTTATACTTTATACATAATAGAATAATATAAATTACAATAATATAGAGGACACTAGACACACCACCCACACTAGCTCTAATTCAAGATTTAAAAACACAACCACAGTATATTTCATACCAAGGAAATTATTTGTTGCTTTTCTCTCTCTAAGGTGAATGTTAGTGGCTCCTCCAGGAATGATAATCATGTCATTGTATCCTGAACACGACCAAACAAATGTTACCTTCAGTATACACATGATAGCATCTAAAGTATTAGTTTAAATTTTATTATAGCTTATTAACCTCATATTTACGTTGTGTAACATATGATCATAGACAATTCTGATTTATTTTAACTAGGCAAATTTCCCATATTTTGCCAGATGAGATTCACGATTATACCATGTTTTAATGACATTCATAGATCAAGCCGTTCAAGAAGTAATATACGTATTTATAAATGTTATGCCAATGCACATATGTCATACAGGTTTAGATACATTTAAAAATACATCCCAAACTTCTTGTCTAGTGACAAAGGTTTTTGCTCTTTTTATCCGATTCCTTGTCAAATGAATACTTGTAAGTAATGTAGATTTGCATTTACCAGTCTGTAGGTTTGATATGTCAAACAAGCCTTCCACAGTCTTACAAGTACTGCCATCACCACCACACTCTCTGCACTTGTCTTCTTTGGCACTGGAACCTAACAGCTTATCACAGCCTACAGGCTAGAAAAGAAACAATAAGCCAGTAATAAGAACCACAGATTTCTGCTGTGCTAGTGTTACATTTTCATCTACAAAACACACATAGTAAACAGCCTAAGGTTGCACTTGTGTGAAAAAATGTGCCAAAAATACTGAAGGAAGAAAATGGTAGTATGGACAGAGACAGGAAAAATACGCGAATAAAAATAAGTGAGATATAAGAAAAGGGGAAGGAAAAGAAAGAACAAGAGGAGAGATAGAAATGAAAAAGGAGAGGCCCAGCAAACAAAAGAATGAATAACGAAAGAAAGAGCGGGACAGTGAGACTGAAAGAAGGGAAGAGGATATTTGATCAGTCATTGCTAACATGCCATAAAACATTTTCGTTGCTATCGACCAAGAAAATTCTGTGCACCCTGATGCTGCAATGTCCCCGTGCATCTTAAGTTATCTTAATGTTATTTTAGTTAATATATTTTATATTATTTAACATATATAATATATATGGTGTGTAAGCCCATTCAGTTTTCCAGAGAATTTCATTCATTTCATTCTATGTAGCAATGGCAATGCTATTCATTGTTACTACTGGTATTATCACATACAAAGATACACTTTGCAGCATTTAATAGCTACGCAATAGAAAAAATATAGCGTATGTGCAGATTTTTAACACAAATGACTTCCCATCAACAAGTTTAACGCAGTGAATTCCTAAATTTTCACTTATATGCACCATACTTTAGGTTACATAAATAGATGCTTTGTTTTTGATATCATGTTGAACCCTTAGCGTAAACGCCCAACTCTAACGCCCAACTCTAACGATATTTCAAGACTTCAAGCAGGATCTAGTTACTGGCAAATACACGCAGTATATTTTGATATTTTTGCCACATTCCGTTGGCTGTGGAAATTACAATCTGGTGTTGATTAGACACACAGACAGTATCTACAAAAACGTTGACAGGCTTAGTAATGTATATTGAGCATGCTGTCTGTTTTTGTCTCAAGGATTACAGAACTGTTGAGGGGCCTTCATGAAAATTTACTAGGAATAAAAATTTACTAGAAGTTTGTGTAGCGACTGGAAAATGTGAAAAAAGGAGGGAACATGTCGCTTAGATCAAACAGCTACAATTTAGTGAGGGGACCACTTTATTGTTTTAATCACTTATTTATACAAACACATCAGAGACAGATGCTGTTATAAATGTCAAAATCAATATCAATTATAAATTTTTGTGAATGTATATTATGTTGATCATACCCGACATATTCCATTCACACAGATATCGGTTGATTCAGCATTGCATCGTGTTCCATCTACGGCTGCTGCAAATTTGTAGTAGAACTTTTCTGTTCTCGGCCTACAATTTAAATCACACTCGGAGAGAGCTGCAACACAAAAATGTAATTATGCTTTAGTAACCCATATCATATTTTCATCACACGCAACAAAAATTTATTGCCATCCGGACATCAATGAGCTGTTAACTGCATATTTCTGAAAAAACTGACATTTTGCAATCATTCCTCAGCAAAATTTTGTTGACGGTAAATAATTATGAATAGCACGCTCTAAAAAGATACATGATAATTTATCTACCGGAAGATTGCTCATTACAGACTGCACGCTTCTCAGCATTACATGCTAGCAGCTGGTGAGCAGCGAGGAACCCAGGTGGCACGATCCCAGGGAATTCTGAATGCCACAAGAGCCTACACAACTTCACATTCCGCTGATCATGATATGACCACCAAACCCAGTGCAATTTGCTTCAAGGCAAACGCAAATAATTAAGGCGTAGCCCAGTGTGAAGAAACAGAAAACAAGATAGACGAAGATGAACTGGCAGAAATTTGATACAGATGACGTGCAAGGAAATCTAAAAAGTACTTTCATTTCTACACTTCATTCCCACTGGTGATCTTGTTTGAACCCTATTAAAGGCTCACAATGCGCATCCAAACACTAATTTCTCCAGTACTAGACTAGCAATAACTTCGTGTCATGCATAATCACACTACCTTATGACAAAATAAACTCTAGTTGCTCCCATTTCACTGCGCGTTTGCTTAAAACCCACAAGAAAGAGGTGAGAAAACTGGCATTCTGGCGCAAACGCCGACTGTTTGCTAAACAAAATAGCCTCGAAGTGGTGACGTGACGTCACATGTTTTTATCTTTGCTGCGCCCGTACCGCTGTACCGCAGCACCGCTGTACCGCTGCACGGTTGCTTGGGGATTGGGGAAACTGTCAACAACGTCGGAGAATTTCAACAACATTGGAGGTATTTTCAAAATACCTTTTATAAGACAACGTGCAGTGAAATGGGAGGAACTAGAGTTTATTTTGTCATAAGGTAGTGTGATTATGCATGCCACGAAGTATTTGCTGGTCTACTACTGGAGTAATTAGCGTTTGGATGCGCATTGTGAGCCTTTAACCAACATATATTACACATCTCCTGGTAGGTTTTGCTGCCTTTGCTGATCGGAGTCATTGTCATGAGAGAGCTTATAGGGTATCTAATCCTCCTTATATATAGCTTAGTTAACTAGCTTAAACTTAGATGAGTCAGTAATATTTAAATTTGCTAAGACTGCTTATGAAACTTGGTTAGTGTCACACACATGAGGGCTGTTACAATGAGATCTAACATCTTGATTACAACCTATTTATTGCCAGAGTTGGGCCTAGGTCAAGTAGAAAAATTACGTAAAGAATGGTGCTTGCTGGCACAACCTTTAAATTTAATTAATTGAAATTTAAAAGATGTTGACACATGCAGTACAACACGCAATTTTGTACCAATAAACCTATTGCGGGATCAGTCATGAATAGATTAGAAATGGAAATGAAGAAATTACATGGCAGTGTGACTTGTATTTTCAAACTTCGGGCATATATGTGTAGCCTTTAATTACCTATATTTATTTCCAAAACATAAATACGTTTGCTTATACAATGTATGCAGACCATGTCCTAGCGATTCGTTACTCTGGTGAGACTGCAGTGCATGCTTTGACGTGCATACCTATTGCCAAATCAGAGAAAACAACATGACAGCAAATGCCAGTGAATTAGATTTACACATACCATTTGCATAGGGAATCCACTCATACGTTTGGTTCTGGAAAGGTGTGCTGTCATATTTGGCACATTGCTCGTCCCTAAAGTCTTTAGAGCCTGAAGGACAATCCTACAAAGAGGCAAATGCAATAATAAACTAAAAATGTCAATGCAATGTTATTCCTACACGTTTTATTTAAATGAACAAACTCTCAACATTTGTCTACCTAGACATGCAACAAAAACATGCAACAAACTAAGGACAACTAAACAAAGGAAGAAACTTCTAATTGCATGTACGGGCACAATGAGTACATTATTTAATTATCCTGCTCTAAAATGTGATGTGTAAGAGCATGACAAATAATACCAGCCTAGAAATAAGATCCAGTAAACGTGTCGGAACATACTAGGATATATAGAAGACCCACATCAGACAGTTGTCAACTGTCTTAATAATGTTTAATCTTGGTTTTGGCCCAAAATTAAATTTGTGAGACAACATTCAATTTGCAACATTCAAATTGCAACTTTCTATTCCCACTCTACAAAGATGTCGTGACATCTGCAATATTCCTTGAATTATGATGCGTACAATTGTGAGTTTTACAGTTTCTTTTTCAAGACTGAGATTCAATCAGGGTACAATTTATTATTCATAGATGACTTTACTGTGATTTGCCATAGCTACACCTTCAACGTTACTACTCATTTGCTTTGAAAACTGCTCACCTGAATTTGACAGGACTTGTAAATTTTACTGGCTCCTGTGCAGTCAGCACTTCCATCTGATCTGAAATAACAGATTAAAACCATGTAGCAATGACAGACTGGCAATAACAGCACAGACGTGTAAAGGTGGGGTAATAGACAAGTTCCATGTTCGATTAAACCTGTATTAACATGAACTACAAATCAATAACTAAGCCATCGATGTGACTGTTTTTGAAACAGCCATGCAAGAGAATTCAACATTTTGGCAAGATACTGCAGGTTAATTTCGATAGCAAGGCCAAGCTTATGGAAACACATGCGAGAAATAGAAACTTATTACAGGAATGTAAAAAGACATTTTTTAACTATCTATAATCTTCTTTAGCATTCTCAACAGGTTCTTATTCGCCGTGTGTTTTAGGGTCTAATTACTCAGTTATCCAACAATGGGCAAGATAATTTGATTGTATCTTAAATCGCCCCCACGATTTTCACAACGAGCATTAGAAGCATGTAATATCAAGCCACAATGGCCACGTCCGAATGCCAGCATCAGATATCCACAGAATTGTTATAGGCTACAATTCAGATAGACGCAAAGAAATATTATATCTGTTTAATCACTCATTTTGTTCTGATATATCAATTGGTTATATCAAATGATGCCTGTCTAGTGAGTTTTCTTCGTTACTGGGTAACATAGAAACAAAAATAGAACTCCTAAAATAACAAACATGAGTATTCAATGCCAATGGCAGCTCATCATGATATGTATAAAAAACGAAGTTGTAAGTAACAAAACAGTGCGTTGGTCTTACTATGCCAGCAAGTCCCAGCTATTTAGGTAGGATAGCTCCTGTCATCATTATATGGATCGTAACAGGCAAACATTACAATCAACATTTCTGCATAATGCAATACAAGGTCATTATTCATTAAGTGAAATATTGCCAATGACAATATATTGAGATACCATCAATATTAATTACATTATTAACAATATAATCAAGACCATCATAATCGACACAATATATCTATAAGTATAGGGCTATTCATAATATCCCTATACTATGATGCTCCTCGTATAATCACTGATTCAAAGTAACAGACTTAAATTGATTACGTCACGAATTTTCTATGGTAAAATTTGTAAAATTTTTGTTGCCATTTTTTTACATTAAAAGTAAGAAGTTAAGAACTAACGGGACTAAACGTATCGTCAAATTCTTACCTGATAAGATTGTTTCTCAACTAGTTAAAAATCCAAAAAACTTGGACGATTTCATATTGTGTTCCTAACATAAATTGCTTGTTATGGGCTATGTATGAGTCACGAGTGTATGTTCACATCAAACAATATAGTAAAATAAGAAGTATAATGCAGCAATTTAACCATAAAAAGTTAACAGAATTACTTTGACGATACGGCGACGTTATCACTTTAATAATAACTAATGGTCACTATCAGAAATGCACTAACTAGTGTCAAACGCATAGATGCGGATGTAGATATAGATCTTGAACAACAGCAAAACATAGCTTGTTATCTAGAGCGCAATAGAAAATGCATAGTATGGGTATTATCAGGAGTAGATAATAGGGAATTATATACTATTAATTCCGTATTATCTACTCCTGGTATTATGTAGATACAATAATATATAACCCAAACACAGCCTGGGTAGGTGTTCCCCTACCCCCGTGTTTGGGTTACATTATTGTATCTAGGGTATCATGGAGATAGTGGAGAAGGCTCTGGAGAGATCAATACATGTATAACACATGTCAGCTTGCTAAGTAGAAGACAACTAGACGAATTAGTGGCAGTCACGACTCTGGTTGCTATATGATGGTACCATCGTGTATATCGAAATAAAAAACCGCACCATGTGAATAACGTTTTAGGCATTTCCTTCTGTCTACTAACACACCCACCCATCAGGTGTGATGCTAAAAAAAGAATATACACTAATTGTCACTATTAATAGTTTTATGAACGGTTTCACTCACCTTGCATTTACAGGTACATACTACATACTAGGGCACCAGCCAGATTAATCTGAATATCACCTGAGAACGCGTTGATAGCGAAGACTTACCTGGTCGATAAACATTTTCGATGGTGATACGTGATTCCACCACCACATGATCGCGAGCATGGTGACTCCCCGGACCAAGGACCCCATGCCCCGGAGTCCGGCCCGCTCCTATCCACAATATACTCCCTCGTTAGTAAACGCGGGTCCGGTGACCGCTTCGTTCGCACATGTGAAGCGAGATGTGTATCCTGAAATCAAATGCTACAATTAGAAACTGCATCCATTTGCAGGCAGAAGGTGGCGATGTGATAAAGCTGAAGAAAAACGTATTGAATTAGTTGGTATTTGAATTGCACGAGATGACTCGTGAAAGCTTACATTTCATGTGCCAATTTGAAACTTATCGCAATATTATTTTAATGTTACCATTCACCTTTTATGGTCAAAGGACGACGTTACAACCTGTTTTCCCATTATTTTAAATAACACATAATAATAATCGGTGGAAGAAACTTAGTCTCTCCTCTATTTTCATCCACTCACCCGCTATTTATATATGCTATATATATAGCTACCAGCGAAATTCTAAGTGGCAGGATAATGTCATGATATACCATCTTCAATAATGGTCGATAAATATGTCAATTAATAGCATATAGCTATCACGTTCACATAGCTTGTGTCGCAATACATTGGCTACATAGTACATGCTCCTTGATGCATATATATGATACTGAAGGCTTGTTCGCAAATGTTTTTCCAGTACAGAGTTGGAAATGGTATATGTACAATATCATCAGGGTCTATATTATCTTACTCCTGATATCATTAATCATCATGATCGTGGGATATAACCAAGTTTACACAAGCGCTAAACTACAGGTTACGAAACATTACGCAACTTTTACTTGTGGTTCGGTTTGATATATTACCAGCAGTTGGCTGTTTCAGAGCGACTTAGATATCCTGTTTGTGTTATGGCTGGTGCGGTGACTAGAGAGCGACGGTGGTACGTGCGCGCGCATGCAAGGAGGACTGTATGGCTATGTAGCATATCAACACTATGAAGTCAAATCTGGAAATTCCAGACTATATAGCGGAACATTAGGCAACTGTTTGGGCTACTGACGTGTAAAATAGCGAGATGTTTGCGCATCTGCTCATAGGATAGTGTTAAACTGACAGTCAGGCTATATAACCTTCGTTGGACACATGGCTTTTTAGTTGACGGCTGCGTTCTATGTCGAGCCCCTTTACACAACGTTGCACAGTAGTGACTTCGCATGTAGTATGCACACACGGGCAGTCTACTGATGCCCGCCCAAATCAGCGACCATGAACTATTAGTCTTGTCTCGGTACAGAAAATATACATATATACAGGACTCAGGAGTGAATAATAGAGATTTATTCTAGAGATAATAAAGATGTATTATTCACTCCTGATATATATATATATATCTTCTATGATCAGGTCAGCTTTTATCATTTACTCATTATCTGTATAACTATATAGCCAGGGTACACAAATTAGAGTTAAAAGAGTCCAGCAGATGCTTAACGCCATACACAGTTTACACTAGTGAATACGCGTACTGTAAGCAATAAAAGAAGAGTGTTATAACGACAAGCACGCTGTGTACTGGTGGTGCCCGTCTCTGGGACCTACCCCTTCTCTTGATGCCCTACATCTGTTTGTTTTCCGCATGTTAAGTTATAGCAAAACGCTCGGCATGAATCAAGAATGTTCGGCATGTTCAATGAATCAAGTGATGAAAAGGAAAGAAATCAGCAAATCGTGAACTCCACTCAACAGAAAGATAAAAAGTCGAAGAGAAAAACGTCTAATAACTGAACGCAATAAATCAGAAACATCACAAACAGTAGCCGTTTCTGAAGAGAACGACATTCCTAATTGCATTTTGATTACTAGATTGGTGAACAGTAAATATCGAAATAATTGGTGACCACTGACCCGGTACAATGAATATGATAATAGACATATAATCAGGAGATAATCAATAGACAAAGGTATTACTAAATAGTAATTAACCAAGTATTATTTCAGCTGATCTGATACTAACTTTCCTTTGCGGATGTAGACACAACGACTACCGATTCAACTCTGTTGCTTTCACACGTCAGTCGTCAGCAATATAATGACACTCATTGAGAACGTGCTCACTTTCAGTATCGCTCTCTCATACCAGCGATGCACACGGCACCCCTACATATTCAGTAATGAACATGCCCCAAGCGACTTATCTTCTTACTATAATTTGCCGAATGTTGTATGTATGTATGTATGTATGTTAATGAAAGGCTCCGTCAGTTTTGATCCAAATAGCGCCAAATTCACAGAAGAGATCGATGAATACACGGAACGGGTTCTAAACTTTACTCGGTTGAAAACGGTAAAAAAGACTTAAAAAGGACACACACAAAAAGGTAAAGATTTGCCTGAAAATAGGGGGCGCTATATCCTTGCCTTGCTAATATTTCGCCGACTGTGAACGTTGTGCTGTAATATTTCGCCGTCTGTCAACGTTGTGCTGCATGCACAAAGATTTTTGTAAGCCCAATAATGGAAGTAGAAATAACCATGTAATAATGAAGTTAAATGTTCAGTAGCTATTTTGGGATAGTTTTCGATATGAGATGTACAAGTTCAATTTCATCAGAGCTGACTTGAAGAAATGGCACTTACACTGACAACGTTGGTTTCCATGAGATCCTTTAATTGCGTAGTTATTAGCTCCGCGTTGAAAACGGAGCTCATGCAATCGCTCGCGCGTGTGTGTTCGTGTGTGTGTGTAGCCACCGCGCGATCGATAGCGCGTCGAGTCAGCGAGTGGCGAGCCAGCAGCAGCCACCAGTGACCGGCGAATCGATAGCGCGTCGAGTCAGCGAGTGGCGAGCCAGCAGCAGCCACCAGTGACCGGCGAATCGATAGCGCGTCGAGTCAGCGAGTGGGCGAGTCAGCGAGCGAGATCCAGCAGCAGTGATGGCCCTGTCACACATTGACGATTTAGCCAGCGTATGCCGGACGTAAATCAAAAATTTGGTGAATACGCTGGCGTACGTCGAATAAGTTATGGTAAGCTTTGTATAAGTTAAAAGCACGCTGAAAGCACGCTGAAGCACGCTGAAGCACGCTGGTATACGTCGTAGTACGGCGAGGTCGTCGAAAAATGTTGAGCATGCTCAAAATGTTTCCGACGTATGCCAGCGTATGCCCATACGTCCCGGCATACGCGGGCCATAAGTTTGTTAGTAAGTTATTCGATCGTTGACACACGTTTGACCCACGTTACTTGTAAAGTTACTCAAAGTCGAAATTACGTCGAGATATAATGTCTAGCGTACCCAAAACTTATTTCTAACTTATGAGTAACGTGCTTTGAACCTATGTGTAACTTATCTCCAACGCATATTGACGTATTTGACGGTGTTCCGGACCCCACAGACTTACTGAAGCGTGTTTCTAACTTACAGCTACCCGTATAATGGCGTATTGGCAGCGTTTAGGGGAATTGGTATATAAAAATGGTATTGGGCATGGTAGATTACTGCGACGGTGATGTTGATACACTGCCGATGTCTAGTTGGCGGTTATGATTTGAATCGTCGAGCGGAGAGCCTTTTATAGGCTACGACACGTGATCGTCGGCGATCCAGCCTGCGCGCGCGCTATGCATAAGTTAGACATCGTTGGGCATAATAGTTGTGAAGCGCCGGCAACACGCTAAGCATTCGTTGTATAAGTTATCTATAAGTTATCGAAACGTTCTATATATAGTTACTAAATAGCGTTATGTATGCGTCCAACTCGTTAGACTACGCTTGTATACGCTCAAATTGAAAAAAAAACATCGATAGTTCAGCGTATGCCAGCGTTTTAAGAGAAATTTTGATACGTCCGGCATACGGCTGGCTAAATCGTCATGTGTGACAGGGCCATGAGCGGCTGAATCGATAGCGGCGTCAAGTCGCGAGTGCGAGTCAGCACAGCCACGCAGTGAGCAGCGAGTGCAGCACAGCAGGCGAGTCAGTCAAGCAGCCGCCACCAGCGAGCCACATACATCGTCACATCGCTCGCGGGAGCTATGCACTCTCCGTGAGTGCCCTCTGTCTAGTTTTTGCATATTATTGCGTAGTAATAGTTGCGATTTTGAAAAGTCGAAGCACTGTTCGTGCATCACACACGTATTTCAGATTTCCGGCTATTCAAAGCTGTGCGGGTGCTAGCATACAATAAAACATTTGTGTGTGTGTGTGTGTGTGTGTGTGTGTGTGTGTGTGTGTGTGTGTGTGTGTGTGTGTGTGTGTGTGTGTGTGTGTGTGTGTGTGTGTGTGTGTGTATTTCACTGTGTACTTGCCTAACAAATGGTTAATGTGTTACGTGTAAGCATGATTACCTCCGCCCACGGAGTTAACGGAGTAACGGAGTGGAGGGAGGTAATGTAATCGGTCTCGTGTGTGTGTGGTGCTGTGTGTGGTGTGTGTGTGTGTGTGTGTGTGTCCAGTCCGCGCGGCGCGATCGATAGCGAGTCGAGTCAGCAGCAGGCGAGTGAGTCAGCAGCAACCACCAGCGAGCGGCGAGTCAGCAGCCGCCACGCAGCGAGCGGCGAGTCAGTCACGCAGCCAGCAGCAAGCCAGCTCGTAACACATTACAATGTTTTTACATGCTGGCGGAGGTATGCACTCTCCGTGCGTGCCCCTCTGTCCTAAGTTGTACATGTATTTCTTTCTGACATCTCAACGCATAAAAAAACCAACATGTGCAACAACTAAACTCTCTCCATATAACGCCTTAACACATAAAATAACACTACTGGTAACACATGCACACAGTCAATAAGCCCGCGCTAGCGCGGTTCCAGCTAGTAGTTATAAACATTCGTGCCCCCCCCTCCAAGTACATCAATCAATGCCGCCCCGGCCCAGGGAGGGTAGGCACCGCCGCGTTGTAATGGTAGTTCAGTGGGTGTCGCGGGCTGCTTTTTTCAGCGACCTTTGAAAACGTTGCGTGAGAACGTGGTGGCGATGGCGCCCCGGCTCAAGAGGATGTTAGGAACTAGAATTTTCCAGTTGTCCCGATCGGGGCAACTAGGCAAGAGAATAACTTGTCCGACATAAGACTTTCACTTGTCCCGGGCAATCGGACAACCGTTAGTGTCGAGAAATGTACCGTAGATAAGGGACCTTGGTGAGGCGGTATAAGAGGTACAAATATATGAAAATGTGCG